TTAAACTGATCCATGTTTATGCCAGATATGAATTAAATGTTATGCAAAAGGTAGATTATTCCTTTTGTAATTATTCCTTTGGTAACATTTTTCCACTTTGCTTAAGCCTCTGAAGTCTCATAGAGAAAAGGCAGTATACTAAATGTACCTCAATATCTCATTCCTAGATTGCAATCTTCCAGATTAAAAAAGGCAAAAAAGATAAAGTGTTCAAAGTGATTATTGTAGTTTGAGCAGCATTAAGTGAATTTAACAGAAAAGGGAATGGGTACAGAATTACATAAGGAAGCTCAATTGTACCAACAAGGAACAATGCTAAATATAGATAGCCAGTTAGATAAAAGAAAAAAAAATCTGTTTGCTTCTATGCATTTGTATCTCTACAGACTGACCTTATTCACCTCAGTGAATCAGAAACTTTATAACTTCCTGGAAAGAGGTTGTTTGTATCCTGATCTACTACTCTGATCCATTGTGTAGGTTTAGTGCTATTGGAAATTTACATTAAACAAAAAAGGACATTATCAGGGGCAAGGGGTGCTAGCCTCAGTGGTATTAAGTTCCTGTATTAGGTACTGTTTTTGTCAATAATAGTATTGGTGGCTGCGTGATTTTTGGAGACAATTTGCATATTGCTAGTGGCAGTTTGTGAACTCCCAATATCAAATATGGTAAGAGTTGGAACTTGTGACACACTTGGACTTCTGAGATACCTCTTCCAAGATGTTCAGAAACAGAGAAGACCTTAACCATGCTATCTAGAAATACAGATTAATAGCAATATTGTAGTTTGCAGGTTTCAGAAAAAACATGCTGTCATTAGGAGTGTGGGAAAATATACTAAGATTTTTTTAAAAGTTGCTCAGTCTGTAAGTTAATAACAATCAAATTAAAAATGAAAGATTTTTTTTTTTTTCCAGAAGTTCAAAGGAAGGATTAGCATAGTTGAGTAACAGGGATGCCGTTAACTGGAAAAATCTGTTTTCTGTCTAAAAAAGTACTGCACAAATGTCTAAGTCAAAAACAGAGTTTCTTCTTTTTTACTTTAATACTGTTGAAAAATTCAGGTTGTTCTTACAATGTTGATTTCTTGCATTGTGTATGGGGGAACCCAAGTAGTCAATAGAAAAACAGGAGAGCATCTGTAATTTTAATTGCACTATATCTTTTTAGTAAAATAAGATTTTAAGAATTGCTGCTTAAATTCTTGGAAAGAAACTGAGCCTGGCAATGCATTGATAATACTTTGACATTTGTCATTTCAACTCGGAAGCGTTTCTTTAAAAGGTTTTTCTCAGAGAGTTTTTGAAACTTCTACCATTTAATAATAATGTAACTTCTGTTGCTTTTGATGCATTTGTAAAGAAAATGGCGTATCTGGGGAGGTAATGGGGTTTGTATAATCAAGTACTCTGGTTTCCAGAAAACAATCAGACTGTTCCCTGGCTTTTAACTGAAGCACAATTTACTTGCTTTGCATGTTGAAGGTTCACAGTAATTCCTGAACTTTTAACATACCTCGAGATATATTTGTTTCCAGTCTAGCAGAAAAGTTATACTAATAAATCTTCACCTACATTTTGAAAAAGGTGTGCCAAGTGTCTTACCTTTCTGTTGCTTCTTAGAGGCAGCATGTACATGTTTCAGTGCACTGACAAGAAATAATATCATGTAACAGCACTTCGTTTTTGTCCAACCTTTGTACCTAATGAATAAGCAGGCAGTGTAAAAAAATAAGGAAGCTAGAACATCTTTAGCAAACGATTGACTAGGTTGAGCAATTCCATATAATCATCTCAGATTTAATTGGTTCCACAGCCAATGGGGAAGAGTAATGGAAGTATGCCCAAGTGTCAAGTTCCAGATCACATAGGAAGCACTGAGTTAAAATGCCACAGAGTATTTAGAAGCAAGCTGTGTTATATTGTCAGTTAAAGAAACGTTGGAGACAGATAGACTTGATTTTTTTTTTTAATGAGACCTATCTCCAAATGAAGAAAATTTTGTGAGATTTGCATACTGAAGTAAAGATCTCTAGTAGAGTTCTCTAATAGACCTTTAGTAGATTTCTAGTAAAGATCTGTAGTAGAGATCTTAGAAAAGAAAATAGAGATCTTAGCATAAGAAAAGCTATGGGGTACATTAAAAATAAAGCTCATTATTTACAAAGGATTGCAAGCATTTAAAGACATCTGTTGTATGTGCTATATTTCAGGAAGAAATCCTAAAAAAGGAAAAAAAAAAAAAGTATTTGCTCTGATCTGAGAGCATGTCTTTATGCAGTTTGACAAAGGGATTATATTGATACACTAACAGTATGTCCACTATTTTTTTTCTTCTGATGATGCTCCTTCTCTCAACTTCACTCTACCCAATGCACAGCATGAATCTACAGAAGGATTCACCTTCCTCTTATTCTGCGTTCCTCTCAGATATGGGTCTGAGTAGAAACCTTTCTACTTCAGTATCTGTCTTTAATGTTACTGCCACTTTGATTTTTGCTTAATATCTCAGAAAGTTCTGTGACTTACAAGGCTCAACCTTGGTTCAGCTTCCCCAGTAATCTTCAAGTGTTGCACTGCCTATGGTAATGAACTATCCTCCTGTTACAGCCATTGCTGATAGCTTTAGTCATCCTAGAAAAGCACCAATCTTTAATTTTTTGTCAAAACACTGCTATCAGAGATGGTGCATCACAGCTAAATCTGTCATTTCTAGTCTCATGAAGATACTGATCTAGCTATCTAGCCAGAAGTCCACATCACATTAAAAATAGAGACTTGCTGCAGGTAAAGACACTACTCTGTTATGTGTCTGCACCTACTTTTACATCAGTGAGGCTAGAAAAGTAGACTCTTTCCATATTCTACCAGGCATACTTGCAGTCTCAGACATAGATGAGAAAAGTTCAGTAGAGCATGGAGATGCTACTGCCCTCAACAGTGACAGCTGCTTCCAGATGCTGTTTTGGAACACGGGGAATATATCAAGCTGTATTCTTCTCTTCCTCTATGAATGCCCCAATGAGCTCCAGGAAAATCCACCTTGTTTGTACGTAGAGACAGGTTCCCTATGATCAATACTAATTATGATCAGCCTCTCCAGAGGAGTTGCATCTGGTGTGGGCATTTGTTCTGGAAATTAGCAACCTTAAGTTTTTCTTGAATTCTTCCTTGGAATTTTTCTTTTTTCATTCAGCTGTGCTTTCAATTGGGCTTGATTTGTGAGAAATTGTCACTGCTGGGACCTTGCAACAGTTTTCACAGGCCCAAGGTAAGGCATGAGGAGCATCCAATAACAAAGACACATGAAAGCTTCCTGCCAATTCTAGTTCCATGCCTTCTAGAGAATCTTGGATCAAACTACTTGCATAATTTAAAAGCATGCTCCACTTAGCAAATTATACCTTTCCCAAGCATAACATAATAATCCATTCACATACTGGTGTACTTACAGCAAGGGCCTCATTCTTTGGACAAGGTTTGAACAAACTATAGTTACTCTCAAGAGGCTGTTCCATTTACCTTCATGTTAAAACCATCCAATACATCAAGTCCCACTGCACTGCAAATTTGCCATGGGATGTGGGAGATCATCACTTCCACTTGCTTCGTCGTCGTCAGGTTCCAAAACTCCTTGCAACACAGGTGGTTATCCTGACAATTTATACTTAACGTCATCAGATTCCTGGAGATTATACGTCTTTCCTGAAGTCAGTTGCAAGATTGGTTACACTTCTGAATCTTTCCTCAGCAATCCTCAGCAATGGTGGAAACTCTGAGAAATGGCTGAGAGAGATGGAATTGTTTGATGGAGGGGTTAGGGGGTATCTTATCACATATGCAGCAATAAAGAAGATGGAGCTGGTCTCTTCTCAGTGATGCCCAAGGGCAGGATAAGAGTCAGTAAGCATAAATTGAAGTACAGGATATTTCATTTAAGCAGAAAAAAACTCGTCTATGGTAAAGGTGGCCATACTTTGAAACGTTTCCCAGACAAGTTGTGGAGTCTACGTTATTCAATGTAATCAAAAGCTGCCTGAACAAGACACTGACAATCTGTTCTATGTGATTGTGCTTTGCATAATGGCGCTGCACAAGCCAACCATAAGAGGTCCATTCCAACATCAACTGTACATGCTTCAATGAAATGTTCATTATTCTTTTATCCCAAGGTTGTCCTTGAGCAGTTCCATTATTTTGCATTGTCTTTGAAGCCTTAGGGCATTCTTGCCTGCTGTCATGGATCTAATAACATCAGTCACACAATTTAAAATTTTTGGTGTCTTGCAACTCAGGAAGAGTTAATGAAAAATGGAGAAAAATAGAGCTAATTTTGCAGGAGGCATTCTGAAAGCTAGCAGTGTAAACAATATTTTATGAACCGTAAAGGAAAGCCTTTTGAGGAAAAAGACTTACTGTTCAGTGTTTCAGGACTTTTAGTTCATTTCCTTTATCTTCAGCTACGCTCTCAAATTTCTTGACTAGCTTTCAGGAGTTTCACAGAAATCAGTAGACTCTATGTTAAGCAGTGAGAACAACACTTTATGCCTTCTTTGCTAGCTGCAGCTTATTGCAGTTGTGGTAACTGAATAGTATGTTCTCTTCACATGCATTCACAAATTATCTCCAGGTTCTTTATTTCAGACTGTCTGTTCTCATTCTAAGAATTCACTGATGCAGAGGAAAAAGGGGAAAAATATACTTCTGCCAGTTTTGAGGATTATCCAGGTTGACAGTGTTGTCACGTTGGGAAGTACTATATGGGCACAGTAAGGGCAAAGAATTCTTTATCTTCTGCATTCCACGATATGAATGTTTATATAGCTAATGCAACTCCAAGGAGATCAGATACAAGTAGGTAACTTGTTTTCTTGAAATCTGTGAAGTTTCTGTGTTAGAGGATCATTTTAGGGAGGCTGAAGGAATAGCAGAGTTTTAAATGTGTTCTTAAAGTAAACATGAACTAGTAAAAATAGCACAATTTTGTACCTTTTACAGCACAGAAAAGTTAATTCAAGCTGTGGAAGAAGATACTGAACGTGAAAAAGTTGCAGCAGATGACATCATAAAAGACATGTCTCCGGAAAATCAGGCTAAGTATATGGAGATGAAGACTGCAAATGAAAAACTCTCCCAGGTTGGTTCGTTTCATAGTACTTAACATAAAATGTTTCTAAACCTGGTCCTATTAGTTCCAGATACAATTTAAATATTAAAGTGAAAACTGAGCAATATAATAAAAAAACTTGCTGGTATCTTAAGCAATTGTAAGTGTCTGAAAAATAAACACAACAATGGACTGAAAACAAATACTTTGTGATTTTGTATTCCTTAAGAGCAAATTATTTTCATCATTTTCTTTTCTTGTTTGGGGATTGACATGCATATTTTAAAACCCTCTGTGGTGCTTGGTTGTTTGATCACATGTAAAAAGCAAGCAAAAGGGAAAAGAGAATCACAGTGTTTTTTCATTCACTTTAGTAGAAATTTTTCTTACCATGCTTAAAAATGAATCTGCGATTTTTTGTGCTTCTTGTATGTTTGCATATATTAGAAAATTAAGCTGGGCCTTTTAAAATGTTTGTGGCTTTGCTACTTATAATATTAACAAAACCAATAAAATCTTTAGGGTTAGAATAACCTCACCTAGGTTCAGGCATGTGGTCTTGGAATATTTCCCTGTAAAGTCTATACCAGAGAGACTGGTATCTTTTAAATCTAGTGCTTCCTAGCTGTCACAGGATGAACTGAATCACTAGTCAGGGCCTATCTGTGCCTTTATTGACTGAAACTGTGGTGACTAGTTCAGATTTTAAAATCTGACTTTAAATTTCTAAAGCAGAAATGATAAATTCCACCTTCAGTACTGATTTTAAGAAAAAGAAAAAAAAAAGTGTAAAAAAGGCAAGCAATTCTTGGTTATTGCCCAACAGCAAGTGAGAGGAATAAGAGTTTATTGGAAAATTTGTTTTCTGAAAATAAATGGATATTATGTCTGAGCTATTTGGAGAAGTCTTGATTTTTAAACTTTTAAGAAGACCAAGAAGAGATTTTCTCTTTTTAAGAGATATCTTTTTAAGAAGATACCTTCTTTTTAAGAAGAGATACTTTACAGCATCTTCTGGATGCTAGAATGAAGAATTTAAAAAGCAATCTAATCTCGCAGTAATTTTTTATCTAAATGTTGCATTTTTTTCCTCTTTAGGAATTGATTGTTCAACAGCAGGAATTGGACGCACTGAACATGAAGGAGGAGTCTCTAAGAGCTGTATGTATGATAAAAGCTGTTTCTGTACCAATTTTTGCTGAACTCTACTGTAATAAATAATACCTTTCTCATTAAATTTTCATATGCTGTAGGTTTGTGCTCTAGAATGAGAAGGCAAAGCCACCTCTCTGTTTTCCACCAATAATTTATAATTAGCTGTGGGTTAAAATGTTTTTGTTAGATACCAAGTACAAAACTTACTAGCTTTAGTTAGCCATATGGTTTTCAAATGTTTTGTGTGATGTGTGACTGATTTAGAATTACTCTCCGAAGATAAATGTGAAATTACCGCTCACGTTTTTCTAAGGAATTTGTGATACCTAATTTTTCAATATAATGTGGGAGCATGATTTTCTTGTTTCAAACGCGAATGTCATTTGAAGCACAAAGTGGTACCAGCTGAGATATTTTTTCTCCCACAAACATGTAAACACACACTTCTAATACGCTGTTTTACATTACTAGAATTAGAAGCTTCTCACATTGGGTCTCTCATGGATCTGCAAGGATCCATAAGCTGAAACCTACAGTCATGTATGTCTTCAGAAAACACCACTTTTGAATACTTGTAGACATTTTTCTATTCCTTTGGAATGCTGTATATTGTTTGTGTTTCCCTAGAAATGATAAAATAGCAGTAAATCTACTCAAAAGGTTGGCCTGAGAATGAACTCATTGAGCAAGAAATGCCGACTGGTATATACTGTTCCAAAAGTGCATTTTTGAGATTACAGGTTATATTCATTCTTTATACTGCCTCTGTACCGTTTGTAACAAGTGAGCTTCACTTTCAATGTATGGTTAAGTGTCATTCAATTAAAACAATTTCTGCAATGTTCTCTTGCAGTCTGGAAGTTGGTAGTAGGTGTTTTGTTTCTCCCAACAGGAAATAGCACACTCCCTGGTGAGACAGGAGGCTGTGCAGCTGTATGAAAAGCTCCATGAGCTTGAGGAACGTCAAAATCAAATGATTGCTGAGGACAAGAACATGGAATCTCCACAGGAGGAAAGAGAGAGATTACTAAAGCAGGCAAGAACATAAAATGGTATCATTTAAAGGATTCTCTAAGTCAGTCAGTATATTAATGGATGATGGAGAAAGAAAAATACTTGGTTTTGAACCTTGCCATTATTTAGTCTTTAACCAGCACAAACCATCTGGAATTAAGTACAGGTAATGAATGGGCTGGAAGGGATGCTTCAGGTTCAGCCATAACAAAATTGGCACAGTCAGTTTCTCAGATGGTTGACTTGTTCAAATTCATCAGTCCTGTTGGGATGGGAAAAATGATCCTATTGATATTATAGCGTAACTCTAAACTGCATCATTTTGGGATAGTGTGCAGATGTACTAATCAAGAAACAATCTTATTACTTTGTAAGGGAGCGTGCCATGTTATATAGCCATTCATGCATATATACTATGTGGATTATTGTACTGAACAGCACTCATAAGTATGTCTGATTTTTAAATATGTATGGAGGAAGCAGGGGAGCATTTGGAAGAGATCAAATTTAAATAATAACACTTCTCTCAGTGAAGAGCTGTTGTTGGAAAACGTGACGACAAGTTTGTGAAATCATATGCTTAGTTTCTATTCCTCGTGTACTGAATTAAGAATTATTTTTTAGATTTCTCCTTTCTTCATTTGTAGATGTTATTTCATATGTTACAGTTGGTATTCTTTTCTATAGGTTAAAGAAGATAGTCAAGAAATAGCAAGCATGGAAAGACAGTGAGTAATCCCATTTTATTGTTGTTCATATTCCACTTAGCCCCTACAGAGAGAGATTAATCCTGTAACAATTTCACCATATGTTACATCCTCTACTGGTTTTAACCTTCCACAATAAACAGGACATATCCTTCTGCTGCAGCTAAATGATTTTTGTAGTACTAGACCATTTAGGTCAGCATAAGATATTTCCTATCTTCATGAATATGCCTTAATAATAGCACTAACATAAATTTATTTAGGGCTGCAGAACACATTCCAAGAGCTGTTCATTGCAAGCCCATTTTTAAGATTTTGTTGTTGTTGTTTCAGTTTCTTAAGCCTGTAGAATTAAAAAGTTGCTTACAGAAATTTCAATTCTGAAGAGTAACAGGGCATTGCTTCTTACTTCTCAGTTACTACACCTTTCTGTAGATTTGCAAGAAGCTCTTTTAATATTATAATACATAGTAATATGTTATGAGGGACAGATAGAGTAGTATATTTCTGTAATCTTGAGGGTTTTTTTTTTTTTTCTTTAAAGAAGATTTTAAATAATTATTGTATTCTCCTAGAAACAATTTTAAACTCTTCTTACAAGTACTTTCAGTTTTAATCATTGGTTAATTTTTAATGCATTGTCACCTTTTGATTGGCTAATAAGTTACTTAACAGAATTCTTGGTAAGAAGCAGTAACAGAGAAATTTATTTGAGAATTTACAGAAGAATGTTTCTAAGGTATTTTTCTTCCTCATTTCAATTAATTATCCATAGATACAGTGTTTTATCTGGCAATTTCTTAACAGATTTTAGTGAGCACATAGGTAATTTTTACATAATACAGTCACTTGATGGAGTTTGCCAATTACATTGTACGTTGCAGAGCTGCATAGCAACCAGAAGAGGGGCCAGTTGAGTAAGGTAAAAGCTACTGATGACGCAAAATTGCTTTTAATGGAAAAGAGCAGCAGTACTTATACTTACTAAGATGGACTATGTATATTAAATACAGATTGTGACTAAAGTGAAAGGTACATTGCACGTATGTTTTATAATAACGTTAATCCTAATGTTATCTTGTTTTTGAAAAACTTAGGTTTGTTATTTTGATTCTGATTCTTCTCTCCATTTTTCTTTAAAAATGTAAGTATTTTACAAAGCAGTTTTAACCATGGATTTCATAATCTTTTTATTAGGCTGGCAGAAGTAAAAGAAAAAACAAACCACTTTAAAAAGGTTATTCAACGACTTGATACGGATTTGGAGAATCATCAAGGTAATATCACTTCAGTTGTGGTATACCATGCAGGGATTTACTTGGAAAAGATGCCATGCCCGTGTTACACTGTGAATGTTAAGTGCTTGAAAACTTTTGAATTTATGCAAATACCCAATTGTTCACTATCAGGAGAAAGTTTCATGTCTTTTGAGTTTATGCAAATACCTATTCATCACTATCAGAAGAAAGTTTTGTGAAAGTTTTGTGCAGACTTCTCAGAGAAGCTGAAAAATGACCAGTACACACTTAATACTGGAGCATTCATCAACGTTGTTGTGCTTGGTAAACTACTGTATAAAAAAATAGTGCAGTTCTCTGGCTTTCTGTCCTAATACCTGTCTGAAAGTGTGAGAATGTTTAAACTAATACCAATGTGTAAAGTAGCTGGAACTCAGTTTGATTTTTTATCTGTCTTGGACACTCCTTATGTTGATCTCTGCAACAGTTTGAGAATTGCCTAAAAATGGTGTTAGCTTAGAAACTTTACTCTGCAAACACCCAGTGTCGTTATATTAGGCTAATCCCAACATAGGTTGGGATTTGTTTTAGCACTGGAAGTTATGGTTCAGGAGAAGTAGCTTAGTTTGAGTATAGGCCCTCAACAGCTCTGGAAGATTCTCCTTAAAATGGAAATTCATACCTTGGGAAACCTATTGTTTAATTATAGTGGATTCTGGTTAGGTAGGAGTTAGATAAATATGTGTATATATTTTGGAAAACCTTAGAACAAGCTATTTAACTTCCGTGGAACTGATAAATTGATGATTTTGATTTTTTTAATTTATACATTTTCATGGGTAAACAATGTTAAAGTTAGCTGTGAATTTATTCAAAGTGAACAGGTATTCCTAAAAATGACCCTAAATGATCCCTCTCATATTTTGCATTATGAAGTATTTAATATTTTTCCATATGTTTCATTATTTTAATGCAAATAATTTATTAAAATTGTTCTATTAGCTATTTCCAGACAAAATAATTTTTAGTTTTACTATCCTGCTTTTATTTTGTTGTTGTTGTTGTTGTATCTTTGGAGAAATGCAGAAGGTAAGAAGTGAGTTGCTTTTCACCTTTTATAGTTAGATTTGCACATAAAGTAATTCATTGCTGGTCTGTACTTCTTTTGGCATTCTAGATGTTGTATTGACAAAGAGGATTTAACACACAGGCAGCAGAAGGCACATGCTCTCCTTCAACATACAAGTAACAGTCAGGATATGCAGAATAAAGCTACCTCATGATTTTATCTAAAAGTGTGTTGAGCCAGAGTTTGATTTGCAACAGTGTTGTAGAAGAAAATAGGTTTAAGGCTTATCAGTTGCAACTTGCAAATAGCTACAGTTTAGAAGTGGGTTCTGCCTGGTCTGTTTCAATATAAGAGTTGTGGCATGGTCAAACGCCTTATATTAAGTCTACAAAGGGTGCAGTATGCAGAGTGGGAAAGCGTCTGCTTTCAAAGTTTGGTTGTCCTAGCGTTTGAGGCTGCAGTTGATACAGTTATATCTGACAGTGCCAGCATTGTACTACCCTGCATTAGTTGTATTCATCTGCATTGTTTTACCCCATTTATGCATAAAGAATGTGTGCCTATAACATATTTGTGGAAATGGTTAACATGCATAACTTGATTATGACATGAATGCTGTGTGTAGCAACAAAAAGAGTAACTAACTCATAAAGACCTTTCTTAAATTGTTAGTAGAATCAATAATTCTTTTATGTACTAAAGCACTTGATTCTCTCTTGTCTACTTCTTTGTCCTTGAGATTCCTGTCCTCCCTCCTTCTCCAGTCAACTTACTTCAGGCTCAGTATTTAAATTGCATATTTCAAAGCATTCACAAAATTTCAGGTCTTACAAGTTTTTTGAATAAAATTTAAGGAAAATTAACCAGTCAAAAAAAAAAAAAAGTTACAACTAGGAAGTGTTTGAATATTTCAGGATTCATATTTCAGTGCTTGGAACATTTTGAAAGAATAGGAAAAACAAAGTAAGTAAACTATAAGTAGGGTTTTTTGTTCAGTTTTCACTTAACTGGGTAAGTTTTTCACTTGTTTATCTTGTTTATTGTATTTTTAATTATATGCTGCATATATTAGCATCTAGTTTTATTGATTACTCAAAGTCAGCATTACCTGATAATGGAATAGATATAGTATTTCATAAATTGAATGAAAGGCTAAACCATTGATGGAATAATGCCAGCTTTTAAAGAAAAATTATCTGTAAAGGCATTTTAAAGATAAAGGTCTTTAATTCAAATATCTTTTTATTTAAAAGTTTGGATGATTGCATAGATCTATTTCATGGCTCATTGTAATTAGACTTTTTGAAGACTAGAACAGACTTTAAGTTATCAAGTATTGGATACTTGCCTTGCAAAATGAAAGAGAGTCTAGCAAGGAACAAAGTGGCAGCTACAAGGAAGCTGAAGAAAAATTACTGTCCCTTAGGGGTTTGTGGGTGTTTGTATATACTAGATAAAAAGGAAAGCAGGGGAGTATATAAGTAAAAAGACCTTGGTAAATTTGCTTGCTCTGTTATATCTATATCTATTGTTATTCTTTTTCTTTATATTTTTTTAAAGTCACAACCTCAAGCTGAAAATTAATCAATGAATAAAACTCAAACAATTAAAAATTTAGATGTTTGCAACTTAAGGTTGTTGATAGCAGTTGAATTTTCTTGGCTTCATGAAACCTGTGGCAAATACAGCAACTCTACCATTTTACTAGTACATTTTAATTAAGAGCTGTTTATAGTCAATTGTTAGACACAAAGATGGACTGATTATATCATAGTCATTACTCCTAATAGCAATGTAAAGAACATGTTGGAAAGGGTCTTTTAAAACTTTTTGTGCATTTCATTTTCCTCTACCAGTTTTCTTGTTTATTTCCTGAGATTGTCATGCTGGCTTACAAGCTGCTTATCCTTATGAACATCCATTTTAATATGTGAAAGTGCCATTGAATTGTCTTGTGTTAAATGAAGACACACAAAGCTTAACTAACCATGCTGCCCAAAAACATGAAAGCATTCTTTCTCTATTGTTGAAATTCAACTGACTTAAGAAAAATCGTGCCGACTTCCTTTGTTCAAACCAAGTACTTATCCTACTCTTATTTATGAAAAATCCTGACCTCTAAAAGGTTCTAAAAATTGCACCGAGACTGGTTTATTAAGATAATTATCTTATTTTTTACATTTTTTACATGTTACATTTCTTGCAGGAGAGGAAAATTGGAAATACAAGGAGCTGAAGAAGAGAGAAGAAAGCATGGACAGTAAGATGTCTAATATACTTTAATTCCACTAAAATACAGGTTTTCTTGTACTGTTTTCACTTTGTTAATTTAGCACTGAAAAGAACTGATCTCCTGATCTTTGCATAAAAGTTTCTGTGTTCTGTCTCAGGACAAGATAATTGATAATTTAAGATTTACAGGACACTCACAAATATTTGAAGTGTCTTTCAAGGCTTTTTATCAAATGTTAAGTGTCTTAGGAACAGCTTTATTTTGTGAAATAGTGCTGAAATTAATTTTAAAGTGAACTTAAATGAGAGACATAAAACCAGCTGGTCAGGTCTGATTAATAGAAGCAAAACTTTAGAATTGGGATGCATAAATATCACATAAACCTTTAAAATTAAGGCTTTTCATATGTGTTTATTCAAGATGAATGCTACTAAAGTTCTGCTCCATATTAAAAAATTCTCATGTTATGAAGATCTCAGCAGCGTCTAGCAAAAGAATGAAGAGAGAACTGTTTTTAAAGTATATTCCATAGCTACTATATTACAGTAGGAAATTTACAAAAACTGTTGGTCTGCTACTCAGCAAAGGGGAAAATGATCAACAAATATGCCATGAAGTGTCTAATAGTATAACAGTGCTCTCTAATACTGTTCAGTGTAACTTAAGGCTAGCATGATTGAAAACAAGGTCTCAGATGACAATGAGGGAATATGGGTGGCAGCATACGTACAGAGTCACTGGATTTTCAAATTACCTGAACTTTATCAGAGGATACTGATGCAGCTCTAGAGCTGTTTGAGATTAATTGAGAGATTTGTGGTTAACATATACAAATCTGGGAATAGAGCAAGTATTTTAACAGTCTTGAAGAAGAGTAGCCAGAAAAATATACATCAGGCACCTTAGCATCAATTTCCAGAAAGACTGTGGAAAAAATAATCAAGCAAACAACGTTAATATTACAAAACATGATTATGAGTAACGATTACATTGATTGGTCAAGAACAAACAACTAATTTCCTTTTTTGACTGAAAAATACAGCAGACTAAGGGGGGAGAAGCAGGTGTTCTGTCTCAGGTAATTTTCTTAGAAGCAAGGAATGGAAATATGGTCCGATTATTAGCCTATGTTGTGCATTTCCTTAACAAATTATTGATTATTAAGGATTCATTGTCAAGAAGAATGGAAGGATGTGTTGAGTGGAATTTTGCAGGGTGTTTGGTTCAATTTTTTTTAGTCAGTTGGATGACAAGATATAGAGTAAATAAATATTTTCACAAAAAATAGCTACATTGGAAAAACTGAAGTCATGATGGAGAACAAGGTTAGAATTTAAAATATGACAGATTTTAAAAGATGTAGAAAAAAATTGACAAGGGTAAGTGTAAGATCATACCTGGGCAGGGGTAATCAGCCACAAGGAGCAGTTCCTCAGGCACAAATCACATGATCTTGTTGAATGAAGTGATCTTGTTCTTTGTGCATTAAGGAAGGCTTCAGACGGAGCATTGTTTTTAGTTCTGCTCAATGCACGTGAAGATAGAGGTTGTCTGTCTGAGGTGTGACTGATAAAGGATACAGAAAACATGACCTGTGAGGAAATTTTAAAGAATAGAGAATTTAGGAAAGTCATCAAATACATGAAAAGGCTGTTTCAGAGAATAAGTGAATAATGTATCTGTACATATAGATGAGGGATAGAAAAGGAGAAAAGGAGTAATAAACATATAGTCATGGAAGGACTTCAGGTTGAATGTTAGGAAACCCTTTATAAGGTTAAAACTCACCAAGCATTGGAATAGGTTGATGAGGAGGATTATAAAATGTCTTTCATGAACCCTCTGTTAAGACAAGTGCATACAAACATCTGAGACATGCTTTTGTGAATCTGTAGAACATGTAGGACTTAGATGAAGCAAGATCAATCAGACAGGTATGATAAAAAGGAAAGAGGCTTTCTTGCAGGAAGACAATGAGATTAGAGATAAATATGGACCCTATAGAAAGTCTTTGAATAAATGCAAAGAAGGTTTAAAAACAGCCTAAAAAGGTCCAGAATGGCAAAGGAAAGAAATGCTGATGAAATCATATAGGTGCAATGCCTAGGTCCTAATTCCACAGTTTCAGACTCTGTTTTATAAAATGGTTTATTTGTGGATATATAGTGCACTAGTTCAGTCTCTAGAGAATTACTAGCTAATAAAGTCTGCTGTGTCTATCTTTATTTCACGTTTTTGAATGTCTGAGAAAACTTTTTTTTTCATGGAGGTGCTTTAATTTCAGGTTATTGGCCTGAAATTAAATTAGGTTTGGCTTTAACTATGTCTCCAGTTACAAGTTCACAGCAGTACTGGCAAAAGGTAAACTTTCTTATATTCTTGTCAAGTACTGTTTGTTACAGGTGTTTTTCAGTCTGTCAGCAGGACCAAAGCTTTATCTCAACTTTTTGAGCTAACTAAATTTGCATTAGAACTAGTAATTACTTTTAGCAATTAGCTGTGCACATTACAGATGTGCAGTCTAATTGGCCTCTAAGAATTCCAAGTATCTTTCATCCTGAAATCATTGCCTCGGGGATAGCCTTTGTAGTATGTAAGTATTGTCCCCTTGCTCCAATAATATAAATTATTGAAGCACGCTCCCTGAAAGTTTTACAAGCTGTAATCTGTGAAGCTTTTGTATTAATTCTTTGATGGAAAGCAATGCAGATCATGTTCAGATATTGCAACAGCTCTCTTACTTATAAATCTTAAATTAGTTGATAATTTAAAAGATATTATTGAAAAATACTGGTTGCTCCGTGATCCACATTGCTCTAGTCAGTCCTCATCCCATCAGGATTTGTTAGTATTTCCATTTAGTAGTCCCTCCTGTTATATATCTCTCTTCCCAAATGATCCATCTTGCATTTACTATCATCTAATCCCCCTTGTTCAATTACGCACTTCTCCCATTTTTTGTCCAACTAGAAATTTAGCAAGCTTTTACATTTCCTCTATGCTCCTATATAGTTAAATATATTTCAGGTGGAGAGCCACCAGGTGACAGGTGGTCATTAAGGTACAGACCTGGGTGTCATCTTGCTGTCCATGTGATGTGTCCAGCACCTTTTATCATTATGTCTGTCACCAGGAATATGATTTCATATGCCTGGGACACAAGTACAGACTGCACAGCAACATTACAGCTGTCTTGTCAGATTCAGTTGGACACTTACAGGAATGATGATAAAAGGTAGATGTTAGCAAAGGGACATAGCATAGCAAGTAGGAGATAATACCAGGTGGATAATAGTCTCAGGTGCTTAGCAGTGCATGTTATTTAGTCCAAGCCTTTAGAGATAGTGAAGTTACCTGTTTCCATTAGTTGGTAGCCCATTTCAATAGCACTCACAAAAATGAAGACTGACAGCTGCTGGGACAAGCATTCAGAAAGATGTCAGAAATGATGGTGATGAAACTCCTTTCCCATTGACTGGCAACCCTCACCTAAACAATATCAAAGAAGATATCAAATATCAAAGAATATCAAATATTAAGCATGTCAAGGTTGGGGGAAGTACTGAGCATAGGGATTGGGGCTGGGTGGAGCACTGCATCACAACCATTGCCACAAAAAAAGAAGGGAGAGTCTTAGGGATTGGAGACTCCTTGCTGAGGGGCACTGAGGCCCTCATTTGTCGCTGAGATAACCTATCTAGAGAGGTGTGCTGTCTTCCTGGAGCAAGTGTCAGACACATTAGGAAGGCTCATTAAACTGGAGGAGTACTGTCCTCTTGTTGTCATTCAGGTTGGATCCCGGGAAGCTGCAACTAGAAAAATGAGAAATACTAAAAAGGACTTTGCATCTGTGGGAAGGTTGTTGAAGGGATCAGGGGTGCAGGTAGTGTTCTCCTTTGTCCTCCGTCTGGGTGACGGGGACCCAGAAAGAAGGAGGAGAACGGGACAGGTGAATGACTGGCTGAGGGGGTGATGTCTGGACCAAGGATTTGGCTGCCCAAGATCGAAATACCCATTTGAGAAGCCTCTCTTTAATATCTTTATCGATGATCTGGGTGAGGGCATTGAGTGCACCCTCAGTAAGTTCGCAGATGACACCAAGTTAGGTGCGTGTGTCGATCTGCTCGAGGGTAGGAAGGCTCTGCAGGAGGATCTGGATAGGCTGCACCGATGGGCTGAGGTCAACTGTATGCAGTTCAACAAGGCCAAGTGCCGGGTCCTGCACCTGGGATGCAATAACCCCAAGCAGAGCTACAGGCTGGGAGTTGAGTGGTTGGAAAGCTGCCAGGCAGAGAAGGACCTGGGAGTGATGGTGGACAGTTGGCTGAATATGAGCCATCAGTGTGCTCAGGTGGCCAAGAAGGCCAACAGCATCCTGGCTTGCATAAGAAACAGTGTGGCCAGCAGGGCTAGGGAGGTGATCGTCCCCCTGTACTTGGCTCTGGTGAGGCCGCACCTCGAGTACTGTGTTCAGTTTTGGGCCCCTCGCTACAAGAAGGACATGGAGGTGCTCGAGCAAGTCCAGAGAAGGGCGACGAAGCTGGTGAGGAGCCTGGAGAACAAGTCCTACGAGGAGTGGCTGAGGGAGCTGGGCTTGTTCAGCGTGGAGGAGGCTCAGGGGTGACCTTATCGCTCTCTACAGGTACCTTAAAGGAGGCTGTAGCGAGGCGGGGGTTGGTCTGTTCTCCCACGTGCCTGGTGACAGGACGAGGGGGAATGGGCTAAAGTTGCGCCAGGGGAGGTTTAGGTTGGATATTAGGAAGAACTGCTTTACTGAGAGGGTTGTGAGGCATTGGAATGGGCTGCCCAGGGAAGTGGTGGAGTCACCATCCCTGGAGGTCTTTAAAAGACGTTTAGATGTTGAACTTAGCTATATGGTTTAGTGGAGGACTTGTTAGTGTTAGGTCAGAGGTTGGACTGGGTGATCTTGGAGGTCTCTTCCAACCTAGACAATTCTGTGATTCTGTGAAGTGTAGAGTCCTGCACCTGGGAAGGAACAACCACGTGTATCACTACAGGTCGGGGAACGACCTGCTGGAGAGGAGCTCTGAGGAGAAGGACCTGGGGGTCCTGGTGGACGACAGGGTGACTGTGAGCCATCAGTGTGCCCTGGTGGCCAAGAGGGCCAATGGGATCCTGGCGTGCATTAAGAGGAGCGTGGCCAGCAGGTCAAGGGAGGTGATCCTCCCCCTCTACTCTGCCCTGGTCAAGCCTCACCTGGAGTACCGTGTCCAGTTCTGGGCTCCCCGGTACAAAAAAGACAGATCTCCTGGAAAGAGTCCAGCAGAGGGCCACAAAGATGATACAGGGCCTGGAGCATCTTCCCTATGAGGAAAGGCTGAGAGACCTGGGTCTGTTCAGCCTGGAGAAAAGAAGACTGAGAGGGGATCTCATCAATGTGTATAACTACCTAAGGTGTGGGAGACAGAGGGCTTTGGCCAACCTCTTTTCAGTGGTTTTTGGGGACAGGACAAAGGGCAATGGCCACAAAATGGAGCCCAGGAAGTTCCACACCAACATGCGAAAGAACTTCTTCACGGTGAGGGTGACGGAGCATTGGAACATGCTGCCCAGGGAAGTTGTGGAGTCTCCTTCTCTGGAGATATTCAAGGCCCGTCTGGACGCCTACCTGGGCAGCCTGCTGTAAGGAACCTGCTTTGGCAGGGGGGTTGGACCCGATGATCTTTCGAGGTCCCTTTCAACCCCTACAATTCTGTGATTCTGTGTGATTCTGTGCAAATGGTGACCTCATATCATTAATGAGTCAAATATGTGTATATGTGAAAAAAAAAAAATGTTTTACATTCCAGCCTCTTAAGTTGACAAGTTTCAAGGACTGTATCACCTGCCTTTTAAGTAAATTATTAATCTCAAAGTCTAAATATGTACAGCTTGTCAATTTAATACAAAGATTTAACTGAAAATTACAAGGGTTTGTGCTATACCTCTGTTAGCAGCAGTCTTCTTTATCATGTTTGTTGATCTCTAGATTTTCTTGAGACTTTTGAAGATGTGAAGAATCAAGAACTAGAACGAAAGGCCCAAATAGAAGCCAATATTATTGCACTCCTGGAGCACTCAAGCAGGGTAAGTGCATTTCTGTCCTCCCATGGCAACCTAGGCATTTAGAACCACAGAACAGGAGAATGAATGGTAAAAGCAAGGTTATTGTTTTTGTTTGTTTGTTTGTTTTTGTTTTTTTTTGTTTTGTTTTGTTTGTTTTTTTCCAGAAAATATATGCATAATAATCTCTAAGGAAGATCAAACAAGTACCATATATCGTTGTAGTAAAAAGATGTCATTAATTTCTCTTTATCCCTGGGGGTAACATTCTTTTGAATGTTAGATTATGCATGTGACTGGAGTAAAAGAAATGCATATATCATTCCTGTAACTTATCATTGATATAATCAATATCATTCTATTTATGATAAACATTTCAGAATGTTGCAAATAAAACTACTGCAACATTTTGTTTATCTAAAGTCTGCAAATCTCAGTTCATGGGTATTTTATCATCACTAAGAGGTAAAACTAACAATATTTCATCTGTCTCCTCACTATTTGAATTATGCCTGAAATACCCTACCATGTATATTTAATGTAAACACTTCAGAAATTGTTCCCACTTGCAGTCTGACATTTTTTGAACTTTCAAAACATTTTTCCTATTAACATTTTTGTTCCTGCAGATTTTTTTGTTATTGTGGTTGTTGTTAGAGAAATCTTTTAGCTGAGTAATATTTTGATTATATCATCGCTTCAATTGTGTCTTATTCAATGTAATATACTGTTAAGGTATGTGTAAAGCAATTAATACTTAGTTTAGAAGAGATTTATGTGGCACAACAGTTTATCCTTATTGCATTTCTCTTTCATATTCATTGGTCTATCAGTACATTTTTTTATCAAAAGCTGACAGAATGAAAAGTCATTAAATTTAAATTATTTCAGACTTTCTCCAGTATTTTCAGTCCTTGTGTTAGAAAAGCCAAATAACAGACTAGGAACTTGGAGAGAAGAGGGTTTGGTAATTGTCCAGTTACCATTTGTGGATTCAAAGATACAGCATGTTCTTGTTATTTATACTACACAGAATGTGAATTGTATGAAACAAATTTCATCTGTTACCAATCAAGAGTTGAAGATTATGCAGGAAGACCTCACTTTCAAATCAAATGAAATGCAGAAGTCACAGAGCACTGCTAAGAATCTGATTACAGGTGCGACCAACACTGAATTTTCAAATTCATTCCTTAAAAAAGTTAAAATGACCTAAGCAAAAGAAAAATTACACTAAGTACAAGATCAGAGTTCTGTACTGAACTTGAAATGCTGTTGTAAGTTGACAAACATAAATTTGTATGAGTAACAAGTGGTTTATATTCCTCAAAAGTATTTTACTTACTATTAGCAATAAAAGATGAGCTTGCTTGCAGAAATACGTTTTCAATAGATGTATTTTAGTATATATGCAAAATGTCTCTTGAGACAGAAACTTGATTTTATTAATATTCACCTTGAAGTAAACATTCTTCGCAATGTTAAAACAGTTTTTGAGAAATACAACTAGGGACTTGCACCTAACCACATATTATTTGTAAATGTTATTCTTAGTATCACTTACAGTTTGTGCTTTTCTAAAGGGAAACTTCCCATGGGAGAATTAACTGGCAACAATGGTGAATAGCTCTCAAATTCATGTTGTCAGGTTTTGATTCTTTGACTCTGAATTTTCATTTTGACTTAATTTTGGAAATATTCAAGCAATTAATTTTCAGTGTAGGAATTTGTAGGACTTGTAGTTTCAGAAAGCAGACAATACTTTTCTTTCATTTCCGCAACAGGTATCTATTTAGTTCTTTATTTGTACTGTTTATAGTGGAATTGTTCTCCTAATTGTAAACCTTTGCCAATATCATTATTGGTTCAGCAAGCCTTTCCTTGTTTGTTTGGCTGAAAGGAAGGGGCAGGAATGAAGAACCATAAATCTTTTTGTTAGAAGGCTATTACGTGCTGTACTTAGTAGTAATTTTCAAAATAGGGGCTTATATTGTAACTTAAAGCAGATACGTGCAAATGAAAAGCTGTTATTCACAAAATACTGCAGAAACTGATTTTGTTGTGCATTTGAACATTTAGTGTTCATTTGTCTGCAAATAAGCAATTTGCAGTTATAGTTTAAAGAACTGGACCAGACCTTACAGGTTCAAATATGACGTTTTGTTCTTTCATGTTAGCAGTAATTCTTGGATTTTACAATATAGGGATGTTCCAGAAACACATAGCACTGTAGATGACATTATTGAAATACATAGTTCTCTCTTTGCAAGGGGATAGAAAGAAGTTGCTGTATATAATTTTCAGCAGATAATTTAAATTATTTAGAAGTACATTTCTGAAAGCAAGGAGTCACAGATACTGTAATAAACATTAGATTCTTTCAAAAACAGAGTGAATGTTCCATTTGCACAGTTGAAGTTCTTTGTAGCCCCTGAATTATAGCATGGTCATCTTCAGGATTTTTTTGTTGTTACTAAAATCTGAATTTCCATATATTTGTGCCATAACAAAGATATAAAAAGTCCATCGGCAAGCCCCTTTTTTTTAATAAAAAAAAAAAAAAAAAAGGAAGAAAGGAAACCATGAAGAGTAAACAAAAGTGCTGATGGCATAGTTTCCCAAAAACATTTCCCTGGGTCACAGTAGTTTGGTCTCAGAGTTTGCTACTGTGTACACACTGCCTGCGAGACGCTGCAACTTCATGGCGTATCAGAAGGAACTGGGCTGCATCCTCTTCCTGTCTCTTCCCCTAGAGGAGTTTAGAGGTTTTTTTGTTTTGTTTTGTTTTGTTTTCATTTAGGTTGTCGCTAGATAAGGATAACATTCATCCCTTCCAGTTTATTCCCTTTTCTCCAAAAAGTGTGAATGGGAAGGAATAGCCCACTGCTGTCTCACCACAGAATATCAGTTTATAGACAGAGCAGTTTTTTAGTCCTTTTGGGTATTTGGCTTGTATGTTGTTATTATTCATTACATGTAAAATAAATCCTATTTAGTCAACTATATGTTACATTGAAGTAATAGAATATTAATATTAGACTAATTATATTAAAAGCAAAAATATTTTCATTAGGTCTAAGTAAGTCTTTAAAATGTAAAGTTGTTTTTCAGCTGTTTCCCTCTGATTTGAATTCTTTATGCATTTTTTTTATTGTTTCGAATGTTAAAGCTCTGAATTCTTGAGGTTGCTAAGCATTTGTTTGTCTTTAAACCACAGTGCCATAGGAACAGAATTAGTTCGGCGGTCTGTTCAGTTTTGTTTTAGGATCTGATATTGCCCAATAATAGCCACTGCAAAGTGAAGCTATAGTAAGTTATTCTAGATGCAAGCAACTTCTTTTCTTAAACCCTTTACAGTGGAAGAAGGCATAAACATTGATTCACAGACAAGCATTTTAGTTCCAATACTTTTAATTTTAAATCCTTCTTTTTGCCAGTATAGAAATGTTTAGAGTCTATATATATGCTCTTTTCACATGTAGGAACCTTTCAGTCTTACCTTATTGAACCATGCTACTCAGGATGTGCAACACAAAAATCTTGGCTTCCCTTTTTGTTTGCTTATTTTGAGGTTTCTGAAGACATCACAAATGTACTTTATTATAAGAAAAAAAAAGTTTAAAAAAAGTTGACTAAAGCTAATATTTCACACTAAGAAATGTATATATGGCATAAATACAGAGGAAGAGAAATGAGTACCAAAATCTTGCTATATTAGGATTTTGATCAGGGGAGGTTTTCCAAATACTTCCAACAATGAACTTGTTCGCAGTTTCTAAAACCCACAGTTTTTAGAAAGGTGAGCCCCTGTCACATACGCACATCCATTTCCTTCTGCTGTAAAGATTTCTATTGCTTTGGTGAAGATGGGAGAAACAAATTTCTACTGTTTTTCCAGGGGATCTGCACATACCTGAGTGTGTAAGCATAATGTTCAGTGTATGCCAAGTGCTGTTTCTTCGTGTTGTCTCATCCCTTCCAATAACTCTCTTCACCTGGTACTTTAGAATTTAGAAAAAAAAAATTATTTGTATCATTATTCAGAGTTAAACACAGCTCTGAATCATAGGATTATGTAGCTATGTCTTTAAAAATTCAGGAAAATATAAGAATGGGAAGGCAAACACCCATCCAAAACAGTTCTACCCCTATCTAGTCCTTCCACGCTTCTAATTCCTTTCATTACCTATCTCTCTTACTTCTTTTTAGAGGATTGTCAGAAGTAAATGCTGAATATTGAAACACATGCTCAGTTTGTAAAATACGACAATTCTTATTACTGTGGAGATACGGAAGAATTTTCCTCAAGGAAAAGCTGGCAATTTAATCTCATAAAACTAGGGTTTAGAACAACAGAAATAAAGGCAATATGATACTAAAAAGCTAACAAAAATAAATTTCAAAATCTGTCTGCATTGTAAGTCAACTTTTGGTAAGGTATTACCACTGCCTTAAAACTTGAAATTGACTGAAGTTATGTGCAACTTTAACAATATAAATACAACAGTGTGATGTAGAAAATCACCACATTTCCATTATTGTTCACTTATGTAACTTATTGTTCACTTATGTAACTTATTGTTAACTTATGTAAATTACCGTAACTGTAATTTAACAATTTGAAATATAGGATGATTGTGAAGATTGGATTTTGTGCTTTCATTCATGTTAACATTCCTATGTATATCAAGATAGCAAGAGCTGTTTGTATTACTCAAGTATAGCATAGCATAAATCTTTATATCTGGATAATGTATTATGGGGGAAAAAAAAAAGTCCTATTATTTAGTGATTGTGCATTTGTTGGCCTAGAGAGTCAAAAATTGCAGATGGACCTGCAGAAGATGGAACTCCTAGAGGGCAAGATGACTGATGAAGTGGCTTCTCTTAAAGAGAAAATTGAACAAACAACAGCAGAGTTAGAAGTCTATAATAATTTGCCAGCTCTGAAAGCATCAGGAGAAGAGAAGAAAAAGGTAATATTAGGAGTGAAGCATAGAAATACATGAAACACATGGGGATTTATGTGTTTTTGAGCACCTGCAAGGGGGGCAGCCAGGCCTATGACTGGGGATCGTGACTGAAACAGGGTTTGCACAGCAGTGCAAATGAATCCAAATGCTTCTTAGCTTATATATGTGACTTATTAACTGGGTACATGTGGCAGGCTATCAGCTGGATACCTTTTGATAACTTCCTTCCCACAAAATTTCCCATTTATTTTACCGATTTATCTGATCTTTCTGCTGTAACTTATGACTACCCGTAAGATTGAGAATGTAGCGATCTAACCACAGAACCCCCCCCCCCCCCCCCAAAAAAAAGAAATCCTGTCCTTTCTTTGCTCTAATACAAACTCCATCTAGAACAGTTCCCATTTCACTTGTGATAAATTTTCTATAAATTCTTAACATCATCATTCACACTTGTGCTCTTATAGTACAGTCTAAGCTTACAACTTGTTCATCATAACCGCTGAATGTTATCATTATGATAGGGCATGCATTGTTAGAGAAAAGCTGTGACTTATTTATGCATATGAGGTTGGAACCAGATGATCTTTCAGGTCAAACCAAGCCATTCTGATATGATCTTGTTCTGAAAGGAATTAAAACTATCGTCTTGAAAGTTGAATAAAAATAATCTCTTTTTAGCCCACAGCAAATTAACTCATCAATTAATCTCTTTGTATTTCTTTTTCAAATAGAGACTACAGGATGACAAAGAAAAATTAACAAAACGTAGTAGTGCTTTCAAGAAAATAATGGAACACTTGAATGCACAGTATGAGACCCTGAAGAGAGAGCTTCAAGAGAATGAGACACATTCGCAGGTATAGCTCAGGAAATGTATCATCACTTCAGTTGTTTCTGTCCTATCATTGTTTCCTCATATGCGCTGTATGGGATGAATCAGCTTACTCCTTCTAAGGGAGATTTGGAAGCATGTGTTGTTCTGTTTTTAAACAGAAATTAGTATCATGCCAATAAATCTATTACAAGCTTTGGTTTCAAAGTTACTAAGAGCAGATCTTTCTGAGCTTAAGAATTGTGTGAATCTTTTAAGTGTTTGCATTGATTTTGCTCAGAATTCTCTCTCTTCCATTACTTAAGAAGTTTTGAGAACTAACATAGAAAGCAACTAAAGAAGAAAAAAAAAAAGTCCTTAATAATTATATCAGATCACCTTCCTTTTAAAAGGTATGCTGCTAACTTTTTTCTTTGCAACCTGTGCTATTATTTTTCCTTCTTTTTCCCAATCCTTCTGTTCCTGGTCCTGGTAGACCACTAAAACTTTAGGGTTTGTTCAGGTTTCTTTAAACCCAAATAACTTTCATATATATTTACATTTAAATTTCAAATGTGAATCAGAAAGGAATATGTTTACAAACTTGTGGTCAGTTTTGAATCTTCTATTATAAACACTAATTAATTCTTATCATTTTGGCAACAGAACTTCACTAGGTGCGGATGCACAGAAGGAAAATGCATAACCTCAAAATAAGTGGAGAATGGGAATTATTTTCTGTGTTTCACTCATTTTTATTGCTTTCGGTTATTGAGAGCTTTGCCATTGACAGAAGGGCAAATAAAGTATATTCTTAAAACAGCTGATTGCTCTATATAAATCAAACATTTTGAAGTACAAATAGAGTTTACATATCTTGAGGGTTTGGGTGATTTTGCTAGCAGTCAACTGTATAAGTTTTGGCCTTCAAAGAATTACTATAAAAGTGCACTGATTATTTCCTTTGATGTGTATCACGTTTTAAACCTAGGCCCCATTACTGGCTGTATTGCAAGTAGCTACACCTACAAATGTTACAAGAAAAATTTTTAGTCAGAAACGTCTCACAAATGTCTCATGCTGTGAACCAGTGCACTTAGATAACTGATTCTTTGCTGTAAAATTTATTTGAAGTGAGATAGCAACTATTTCATGTTTTCTAGTTTAAGAATAAGCTTTTAAATAAAGTGTAGCAATAGCTTCCTAAATTGCTGCAGTAGTTCTCACAGAAAGTTTAGTCTCAGAATGATTTTCAGATTTTCTATTTAAAAATAACATCTACATATCTTGAAATGCAGAATCCTGAACAGTAGCATCAGAAAAACAAATATTATAAAACTGTATTGTAAGGAAGCAGCCATCGATATAATGTCCACATTAGTTTCCTGTTGATGCTGAAGTTATTGAAGAAGTGCCAGCAGTTAACCCACACTCTTGCAATCTTCTCACTGCAGCACCGTTCTTATCACAGCTTCTGGCATCAGACAGGAAACTTAACTATGGAAGAAAGGAAATTTCTTCTGTATAGCTCAAAGTCCAAGACATTGTCAGGAAATACTGTATCTTCAGTGATTTTAGATCTTACTGATTTTAAGAAGACATCACTTTAATGATATGAAGTCTAATGAGAATTAATATCTCTCTACCATGTCCATCTTTTTTCCTCAGAGTTGCATACACATTTCTCTGTATGTACCATTGTAGTTATGCAGTGCTTTTATATAAATAGAGAAAAAGTAAATGTATGAAGTGCTAAATTATATACAGACCACTGTGTCATTGGCAGCTTAAAAATCATTTAGCCATTGGTTATCTTTGTTTGTGAAGTAACCTTGATCTTATCAGGTGACAGAATGTAAGGTATTGAAGCATTTGGGGGGAGATTATTTGTAGAAAGTACATGTGTAATTATTTTCTTTTTTGGCTCTTTTTTGTTTTCAGCTTACAAATTTGGAGAGGAAGTGGCAGCACCATGAGCAAAATAACTTTATGATGAAGGAATGTATCCTTTTATTTAAGAAATACTGTAAAATTCACACGCTGTAGTAATTGAGGAAGAAGGCTGTTTCCTCCATCAGAATAAGACAGGACAGAATGGGGAGCAGAAGACAGAGGAGGGCGGGAAAGGCTGTGCTTTGCAATATCTGTTTAAACACTAGACATTATATATGGCAAAACCTGCATCTGTTGTCTGAAACAATTTTAAGCTGTCCCAAAGTACAAGATTTGTCTTGCTGTCTGCATTTTTCCTGTTGGGTCAGTTTTGTAATTAGGTTTCATATAAAGATCAACTTTGTAGCTGTACAGTCTTATCTGAATTTATCCAGCGTTTTGAATTATTTGAAAATGTATATGGAATGGTGAATGACGAAAAAGTAAACAATGTGTTTTATGCATTTAGGTGTTTCTTACAACATAAAAGAGGAAGTTCATATCAGAGGGGGAAAAAAAAACAACAGCTAAACACAGTAAGATCTGACAAGGAGATGCTTTAGCTAGGAAAAAAAGTGGGCTGGGATGGTAAACTGTGTTGTTGCTCTCTCATTACATGCTGCTAATTAGAGGTACATTACACTGTCTCCCTGACTAATCCTTCGCTGTGCAAGACCTTCCAAAACACCAGCAAAAACTTGCTGCAAGTGATTTTCATAAGATAGGTTTTTAGCTATCAAAAGAAGTGAAGTTTCTTAGATTTGATAGTTCTTATCTTGCACTATTTTCCATAGCTATTATAGAGATCTGAGTGTGGCATATCTGTTTTATTTATTTAAATTCAAAGTTAGGGGCTTTGAATTCAGTTTAGTAAATTCCTTTTTTAAAAATTATTTAGAAAACAAAAATTTTGAAATCTCAATGACGAATAGAATCATTATATGTTTATAGTACAAGTACTGTAGTAAAAGTGAAAGCAGAACTAGACTGTTTCATCCAGCTCTGTGTGTTTGACAATGGATATTGCTATGCACCTGAGAAAACATCCAAAAAAAATATTTCAGGCAATTCTATAATAGTCTAGCCATCAGGATGAGAAAAAAAATGCAATGTAGGATCTGCATATAACTTTATTTTTTCATATAACAAATATCCCATTTCTTACATCTGATAAGTGCTCTAATTCTTAGGAAAAAAAAAAAAAAGAAGCAACATAATACATCTTGGACAAAGGTGTATTTTATTATCAATCTCTTTGCTAGTAGTGATTTTCTTTTGATATATGTTTATATATTTTGTTTTTTAATTATTTCAGAATATTATGTGGAAAATATATAATTTTAATAATTGCTACTGCATTTAAAGGCTAGTAGAATGATTTATTTCAAGTGAAGTAATTTTTTTTCCTTTTTTTACATTAAAAACAGTAATAGTTTAGTGCAGGTTGGATTGTTCTTTGCACAAAGCAATAAGGAACAAATGTTACTGACTTTGCTTTTTCAGGTTCATAGGAGAAAATACAGCTATCTTAGGATATTATGTACCTTTGACCTGTGGGCATCCTTCTGTTCTTTGAGATAGGATTAGGTGAGTGTATGCAGACAGACCTTTTCTACGCTTGTAGAAAAATGGTCTTCCTTTGTCAGTGAAGTGAAGCCTTCTAGTGAGCTGTGGCTCACCACCTCATGGCCCCAGTCATTCCTTGACAGATAACAGGGCTCACCAGCAAGTACCAGAAGAGACTGCTGACATTAACAGAATAGAACTGCAGCTGTCTCCCTCTGTGGAGAAGGCTATGCAGGAATATTTTATTAAGGTGAGAATTTTGGACCCTATGATAGTCTAAAAAGAAGAAAAACTTAAGAAGAACCCAAGAGAAAAAATGTTCAGAATATTAAAAGTTTTGCCTAACATGGTACAATGTATCACCTACCTATGCAAGTGCAGATGCTTACTTAAACAGGTTTTTACATCTGCTTTGGCTACTGGAAAGAAGGGTCCTGTTTTTTTGGACTGGGATTTTTCTGGCTAGAGACCTGAAGTGCCAAAACATATAGTTTTAAATAGCTGAGTGCCTTGGAATGGTTTTGTTTGCAGTGTAACAATGGGCAGTCTTCCACAAGGGACCTATTGCCTATACATATGAAAACAAAATTGACTCAAGTATGTAAGCTCTTTTTTATCATGTTTGGCATGGGATGGTAGCTAGTAAATTGCTGTAATTTTTTTACAGCCATTCAGAGTTTTTTCCATTATTTGCAACTCTTGATAGTTTTTGCAGAAGGAAACTTACTGTATTATGTTTCTCTTATGATCTCTAATTATGCTAATATTTATACTGGCAGTTTGTTTCCTTAATTCTTTTAATCAGTCATAGCAACAAAGAGTCAGGAGAGTGACTACCAGCCAGTAATGAAGAACGTGAGAAAGCTGGTCACTGAATACAACAAAGCTCTCATAGAAGCTTTACAGAACACGAAGAGCTGAACCCAGGCACTTCCTTCCTGCCCCCATGGACCAACAATGAGGGATGTGCAGAGGCAGCATGGAAAGCTGAGCCACTGAGCTCATGTGCTCACGACAACTGTGACAGATGTTCTTAAAACTATTTTTCCAAGTTTATAAAAATCACAGATTTTAGTAGTACTCCTATTTTTTTGCAAGGTTTGAAAATATTTAGAAAAAAAAATCACAAACTGTAGAAACATGTAGAACTAGAAATACTGCATAATAAGTGTAAAATCATCAGAATGTTTTACTGAAGCTCATTGCTGGATTGTGAAGATGAAGTTTGCTGTAGGCAATGCTTTACACATGCTTTACACAATGAATGTCTAATTGTCTTTTAGTCCTACCCCTGATGATCAGTGGGATTTTTCCCTGAATAAGGACTGCCCAATGGACTCTCAGATGCATTATCTTAAATGAAAGCATGTAAATTAAGTAGTAATATGCCTTCGCTATTTAAATAGCAATTCATAACAAGTAAAGGAAGTATGTAAGGACAATAAGCAGCCTCTTATGACAGAATTCTTTCATACTGTAAAGTCTTAAAGCAAATTTACTTTAAGGATCTGTCAGCAAATATTCATTTCCCAAGGGAAAACTGACTAACTTGTAGAGCATGTCCTTATTTCATCTTTTTAATATAAGAGCAGAACTATGATAAAATGTAGTGAAATATAGCTAATACTGACCTTGTGCAGAGCATTTTAGTTTTGTGGTATTCACCAGTAAAGGAAGTGAAAGGGAAAATTACTTGCATTTTCTGCAATGTTTTTTTTTCCAAGTTTTTTCTTTTTTCTCAAGCTGCAGTGTCATATGTAAACCCAACTTCAAGATAAGAACATTGAATAGAGATTCAACGTAGAACAAAAACAGGACTGATCCATAAATAATGTGCATTATGATATATACATGTCAGAAAACATTAAACAAAATTACCAAGTGTGTATTTCCCTCACATTGTACATGTAATGTAATTATAAACTACCTATTGGTAACTTCCTCTACCTTCCACGTTGTAAACTAGTCCTGACCAAGGGAAAAAAAAAAAACAAACAAAAACTAGGTAAAATCTAGGTAAAAATCCTAGACAGACAGTAGTCTTAAAAAGTAGAAAAAGTAGTTAAAAAAAAAAAAATGAGGTGTTGGATATAATCTTACTACTACCTTAGAAGAGTTCTCATGTAAAAGAAGACTACTGTGTGCTTTATTTCATAAAACTGGGGTTCACAAAGAATTAGAAAATTATCTGTCTGTTACAATATAATTTATAAAATATAAAATATAAGTGTGGTTTTGTCCTTCAGTTTCTCCAAATCTGTTACCATCATTTTGAGTATATAGCAGAAATATGTAAAACAAACATACTGAAGGATTTTGCAGAGAACACCATGTTTCCAATTTCAGCTCAGTAAATGCTGTTGTCCTCTATATTTATGTCTGTATAATATTTAGAGATAATGGAACAGGATTTCTATAAACCAAGGGATGTTATCTAGGGGAAATTCCCACTAATGTCTCTTCCTTCCTGACAAAGTTTCAGCTATTCCAGAGAGAGCCCATTATTTGCTGAGATAAAGTTGAAGTCTGATATTCTCACCAATCAAACCATCACCTAGTGAGATCGCCTCCTGAATTCCACTTCTGCTACAATAACATATTTTAATGAACAATGGAAAGAAGTTGCAGACTGAATAAACAGGCCGCTTTAAATTCGCTTTCACTCAAGGCAGGGAATGGTTTTATTCTTTAGCAGTGATTCTGTTGGATAGCAGAATAAAATTTACAGGATTTGGTTGTGTTTTGTAATGTTCCCTTGTGATAAAAATGCTTTCTCTAGCACCCTGATTTTTCTTTTGTTCTTTTGAAGGCCTCCGGGTTGCCTATTTCTGTCTGAGAACCTTATTGATCAATCCTTCTTTTAATAACTCATCCTTTTGGTCCTCAGTCATGCTCATAACATCTTTGGCTCATGAAGGGGCTCATCTTTGAGCCATGAAGGGGGTACTAATCTCCCGTCAGGAGATCCCGTCCTCATTAATAAATCATTCCCAGCTATGATCTGAGCTACTGTGTGTATATCAAGACTCTTAGGACAATATCACAGGTCTCACTACCTGGCAATAGTTTACCCATTTTATGCTATGCCTCTAACCCGAGAGGACGTGGATTAAGTGGTGGTATGTATGGGTTGAAGCAACTTAGAAACTGTTCTGCTCACTTGTCTCACGAGGGCTGAGTAGAGGGAAGGATCACCTCCCTCAGCCTGCTGAAGACAAATCTTCCTAATACAATCTAGGATATTATTGGCCTTTTTCACTGTGAAGGTGCACTGCTGGCTCATGGTCAACTTCTTGTACACCCGGACCCTTAGGTGCTTCTCAGCAAAGCTGCTTTCCAGCCAGTCACCCCCCAGCCTGTGGTGGTGCCTGAGCTGTTGCTCTTCGGGTCAGGACCTTTTCCAGAAAGGCATTTACCTTTCTGGAACTTTCTGAGGTTCCTTTCTGACCATTTCTCCAGCCTGTCAAGGTCCCTCTCCCAGTGACATAACCAGTGGGTGTATCAGCCACCCCTCCCTGCTGTGCATCATCCACAAACTTGTTGAGGGTACACTGTCCAACCATCCAGGTAATTAGTGAAAAGGTTAAACAGTACTGGCAGCAGTACCCACCCCTGGGGGCACCACTACTGACTGGCCTTCAGCTGGACTTTGGGCCACAGATCGCACAGTGAGCCCTGAGCTAGTTTTCAGTCCATCTTACTGCTCAGTTACCTAACCCATGCTGTATCTGTAAGGAAGTTATGGAAAAACAGCATCAAAAAAGCCTTGTTCAGGTAAACATCTATACCACTCTCCTTGACCACTGAGCTAATTACTTCATTGGAGAAGTCTGTCAGGTTGGTTAAATACATTTTCCCCTTCATAAATCCATACCGACTCTTCCCAGTCACCTTTGCATCCTCCGTGTGTCTGGAAATGATTCCAGCATTAATTGCTCCATCACCACCTCAGAGATCAAGGTGAGACTGATGAGGCTGTAGTTCCCTGGCTCTTCTTGCTCTTCCTGAAGATAGGAGTGACGTTCTTTCTGTCTTCAGGAGCCACTCCCAGTCACCACAGATAAAAGAGAATCAAAGCTGTTTCTTTCAAATTGTGTTGTTTCTTTCCTTGTGTTAGTGGGCTTAGAAAACAATATGCAGTGTTCCTGTGAGCAATTTCAGACACGCGGAACACTGATACATTTTTAATTATTTCTGTCTGATAGTATTGGTTAATGCTTCTTAATGTTGCAATGTGCTGCTTCACAACTGGAGGAACACATTCCCAAGGTGAAGTGGTTGTAAAGTCTTTCAGGATATTTCCATTTTTCTGCTGCAAGCATGAAACAAAAATACAAGGAACAAACCAGACCACAATGAGGCAATAGCAATGAGAAAATCTTATTTTGAGGAGACAGGTGGATATTAAAATGCTTGCTTTCATAGAATCACAGAATATCCTGAGTTGGAAGGGTCCCACAATGCTTATGGAGTCCAACTCCTGGCACCAGATAGGACCACCCACAAAACAGTCCCTACACCTGGCAGCATTGTCCAAGCACTTATTGAACTCTGGCAGCTCGGTGCCGTGACCACTGCCCTGGGGAGCCTGTCCGACTGCCCGACCCCCTCTGGGTGCAGACCCTTTCCCTAATGCCCAGCCTGACCCTCCCCTGTCCCAGCTCCATGCCGTTCCCTCGAGTCCTGTCGCTATCCCCAGAGAGCAGAGCTCAGCGCCTGCCCCTCCGCTCCCCTCCTGAGGGAGCTGCAGGCCGCCATGAGGCCTCCCCTCGGCCTGATCTGCTCTGGGCTGAACAAACTGAGGGACCTCAGCTGCTCCTCATACATCTCCCCCTCCAGACCCTTGAGAAAGCATCTGGATGCTTGCTAATAGTTTTATGTCTTTCTTATACCATTCTTCTTAGTATCTGCTTTGAAGTGACTGCCTTAGAAATATTTTTGCCTCACACTGATAAGGCATCTGGGTGGAGTGGACATCACAATTGTCTAGAGTGAAAAAAAAATAATAAAAAAATCTTGGATCCTGAAAAGAGATCATAAAACTAGAGTTTATATGCATACATTCACAACAGTGAATACTAGCCGAATGGTGTAGACAGCAGTAGGTGGCAACTCCAGCCAGAGAAATGCTGCAAAGTGCAGGTTAATCAATGGGAAGGAGAACTGAATTATTTCCAAAACAAATAGTTGTCATCTTTTTCAGTTAGGAGGAAGGAAGCCATTCAGCATTTCATAACCACATAGATGATTGGAATTCATATTCCAGCTTTGATCAATCATTTGTTGGGATTGGCAGACATTTAGAGCAGAGGAAGAAGCATTTCTTGCCCTTACTTGCAGTCTAAACTGATTCTCATTTCAGGAAGAAGGACTAACCAGACAATATGCCAGAAAAGTGAAATGGAGGAAGCCTCCCACATTTAAAAAAAAAAAAAAAATGAGCCAGAAATGTAAAATGACCTGCTCTGTTTCCTCTTGTAAAACTAATTCCTTGAAAGCTACATTCATTAAAAGTGACTAAGCTTGATTCACTGACCATGGGTATCTTTGGATCAGGACCAAGATTTCTGCTCTGCATCAAAGAACAAGTAGGGTGCAAGAGGTCTGTCTTGGACACACAACATGAGTTTGCCCACCTGCAGTAAGGGTAAGGGGGACTCAATACATCTGAAAATTAGAAAGCAAAAAAAAAAAAAAAATGCTTATAGTAGAAAGTATCAAACAGTACTATCATTCATACTATGCATGAGAGACAAAACACCAGATTAATGCCTTCAGATTTTCACTATCCTTCCTTTTCCTTGTTTTTCCTCTAAATTAAATGAGGAAATGGTGTTTAATGGGTGGACTTGTGTTCAGGTTTGCTGTATTTAAAATTATTCAGCATTATTGACCTTAGTGTACAATACTGAAGTCCTTTATTTATACGTAAATCTGCATTTTAAGTTCTCAACTTAATAAAAAGAATTGTATTTCTTTCACACTTCCCTATTTCAAGAATGTCTAAAACTGTATTGTTCAAATACTCAAAAACATTACCATTTAGAAATCTTCATCTCAGAGAGGAGAGGCTGAATTTAAAGCCAGAGCTTTCCAGTCAAGGAACTGTGAAGGAACAGATCACCAACAGTGACTCTACTGTTAACCAGTACAAGATTTTAGCCAGTCTGAGGGGATGTAAATTTGAAAGCCAAGGAAGGAGACAGCAAATTTCTCACTAAGTTGCACTTGCCAAAGGCTGGTGATCTGCGCTGTATTTTTGAATGAAAAAGGGATTGTTTATATTTTGGGGGAATTGTTTGACAATATAACAAATGAGTTAAAAGTTGATTCAAATCTTGGGCAGAATCACTATAAAGTTTAGTAATGCAGCCATTCAAATCAAAGTTATCATTAGAATCAAATCAAGAGAGAGATGATTTCAGTGAAAAATAATGGATCCTGCAAACAGGATTTTAAGAATAAATATTTGTCATGTTGAAGGACAAAAACACCACCCCTGAGATCTCTTTAGCGTGACCTATTTCCTGGGACTTGGAAGCCATAGTCAGATCTGCAAACATCTTGTACATTAAGTGGCTTACACAATTAATCTTTATTTCTCCAAACTGCACAGATAAGAAATTTGCCTCATTAAGTTACAGCTATTCTCTGAAGACTTATTTTAATTGCCTGACATAATTTGCGATGATTCAGTGTTAACATCTTAAAGGATATTTGGATCTACATTTGTTACCATTAAACATACTACAGCCTCATTCATCCTTCAAAATGCACTGTAGAAAAATTAAGTAGAAAAACAGTAATAAAGAAAAGAGAGGAGAAAAAATAAAAGCTCTGTGGTTTCTGCTCACCTCATGTGGGATGACTTCTCTTCTAGGCTGCAGAATCCCATTTGTCTCCAGACTTCTTTTAACTTTAGGGCAGCAGGAGTATTAAACTCCCTTACGCTTGTACTCCTAGAACCTGATCCAATCTTGGCAGAGATACACAAGCACTTAAGTTAACTTAGCACATGTTCAGGATCACCCCTTTTGGCATGCATTTTAAAAAAGAGAGCAGACATGCTCTAAAACAAGGAAAGAATGGGGTCAAAAAGTACTGACATCAAGTATGCAGGTTTGTCCTTTTCACCCACACAGTGGGATAAAACTTTCTTCTTATTTATGTGACTTTGTACACATTTGGAACCGTCAGTGGCCAGCATCACTGCTGGTCCCTCACTTCTTACAGTTTCACTCTCCAAGAAATTCTTAAACAGAGTTGATCCCATCCATCAGCAAAGAATTGGGAAACAGGAATTATTTTGTTTGTCTTCTGCTAATAGCTGGTCACCCTAAAATCTACACAAAGCCTCTTTCAGCAAAATACAAGTGACTCACAAAGCTTCCAGAATGCAGGCATCATGCCTTATTCAATACGCTTGATATCCTTCTCAATGCCTTTACTGATACAGAGGACTTAAAGGACTCCTGTATTGTTTCATCAGCTGAACCTTCCCCTTGAGAGAAACCTGAGGTTCCCAAAGGGTCCCGTGTACGATTCCCCTGTAGAAAATGCCATTTTGTTTCATTTACATGGAAAACAAAAGAGCAAAAGCTCCCTTTGGCCAAGGCTATCCTGCAGACTGCTCAGACTCAGCCACTTCCAACACTGTGGTCTCCTGAAGACCCAAGAGAAGGACCTTTTTGACAAGAAAACAAACCAAAACAAAACAAAAAAAAAAAAAAGCTGAGCAAAAAAAAAATATAGCTCTACCTACACACCACAACAAAACCTGTTCCCCCTCCATCTTCTGTACCACCAGTGCCTGGCATGGGTCCACAGCACACAGCACAGGGACAGTTCGTGTCCCCGGCTGCTGCCCCCACTGCCAGGGCCCAAACCAGGGGGCTGTCAGGCTGTGGTCAGCCCCAGTGGCATGGGTTGTTCTGTGGGGGACAGCCAGGTCTGTGTAAGGAAGGCAGCTTAAAACCCCATAAGTTATGAGCCTCTGCTCCACTTTAGCTGATGGCAGCGAGCAGTACTCCTAAAGGTGCTTTACGGCCTCCTGCTAGCACATATTAACATCATGTCAAGGACAAAGTAATGGCTTGCTTCCAAAAAGCATAATACATTCAGACACTGCGGGAGGATATGTGTTTTCTGCTAACACATCTACCTGATTAAAGAAGTGCAGAGTAGCATTGTTTCTTTTTCCTCCTCACATATTTCCATGTGCTGCAGTGTGCATGAATGGATTGTCCTTGAGACAAGCGTGCTGCTTATCTAGAAAGGAAAGCCTGGTGTCAGGAGTTCACAGCACTTGACATATCATAAAATTAGCTTTCGGCAAACAGAGTTATGAAAACCCAAGTTTAACGTTAGGATTATATCTACGTGTCGAAAGACAACTTGTTTCCCTGCTTTAATTAATTTAAAGATGCGTGCACGCTGCCTTGATGGGTGTGTGGCTAGATGTGAATGCTGATACGTGTTCACCAACAAGACTGATGCTCCTGAGGGAATGCTTCAGAAAGCACACAGGGCTGGGCAGGCTTTCCGACTCCCCCAGTGCCTTCGGAATAGCCAACGGATGTTGCTTATGGGGTGCAAACACTGCTGTGAACCCACTTGAGGATGTCCCACAGGCATGTCCATTGGTCAGCCCAGAAGCCAACAGCCTCTATTAGCCCCATGTGCAAGGAAAGTGGGAGTAACTCAATGCCTTGTTTTACTCTGCCTGCCATCCTCACTTTCAGCCTTGTTTCTTTTACTGACAATATGGTTTTGGGGGTGAGGGAAGACACTTAAATATGTCAGACATCTACATATGGGTAAATCAAGCCAGAACAGTGAAATAGTTTAAATTCCAAAAGCTTGTCACATGATTAATTCTAACTTCAATGGGAGCAAAAATCAAACTGTGATGTTTAAATGTGTTCCAAATAGAAACAGATGTGAGCTTAAGCACTTATTACGCATTAAGTAATTGCTGAATCTTAAAATATACACATATAAATAGATGCTATTCGAAATTTCAACAATGAAATGATAGAATGAAACAAAACCAAATGCATGTACCTGATGAGGCTGGTATCCCAATCAAATTCTACCCCTTCCAGTTTCAACACGAATTTGCATTCTTCTTGTATCTGTGAAATATTATGTGTCTAGGCTAGCTGTTTGTATCCCAGAGATAGCTACATTGTCAGGGCACATTAAATGACCAGTAGGCATAAGCTTTTTTTGAATAAGGGTGAATACTCATTCAAAAAATAGTGAATTTCTCCCACAGCTGACCCAGTCATTTATACATACTATAAAATCAGTATCATCTGCAGTCCATATGTGCTGTTGTCCGTCTAGGTGCATTATAAAGGGAAATGTGCACATTCCTTCTCAGTGACCTCTTTATGCACTGGGGAATGAGATTTAAGGGAGAGAAGAGAAGAGAAGAGAAGAGAAGAGAAGAGAAGAGAAGAAATGAATAAGAGAAGAGAAGCAAGAGAAGAGAAGAGAAGAGACGAGAAGAGAAGAGAGAGAGAAGAGGAAGAGAATAGAAGAGAAGAGAAGGAGGAAGAGAAGAGAAGAGAAGAGAGAAGAGAAGAGAAGAAGAAGAGAAGAGAAGAGAAGAGAAGAGAGAGAAGAAGAAGAGAAGAGAAGAGAAGAGAAGAGAAGAGAGAGAAGAGAAGAGAAGAGAAGAGAAGAGAAGAGAAGAGAAGAGAAGAGAAGAGAAGAGAAGAGAAGAGAAGAGAAGAGAAGAGAAGAGAAGAGAAGAAAGAACGCTAAATTCAGAATAACAGTGGAGAAGCATAGTCTTTACTAATGTTGGTTATCCCCTCTCCCCTCTTAGCAAATCAGAAGCCAATGAAGAAAAAATGAGGAAAGGCGAAGTTATAAGTAGATGGGAACTGTGGTAATACTACTCAGTGTCTGGCAATATACTAAGTGTTCTGATAATGGAGGGACCTATACCACTAGATTTATATAGGATAACATGCAACTGGAGTGTGAATAATCACTTCCTCTTCATGTCTCAGAGAGGAAGAAAATGTTCTCAAAAATCAAATATGGACAAAACACATGTATGTGTGTCAGAGGAACCAGACCAGGGAAATACTTTATATTTTGCCTCCTTAAAGCCTTAAATTGAATTTTAGTGGTGCATGTTTTTCCAAATAGATTTTCAATCTAAGTTCCTACCTGGTTTGGTTTCTGTTTTATTTTGGGGGTATGTTGTAAGGAGCAGTTCTGGGTTAATGTACTGAATCATTGTAGGTGACACCCTTCTGACCACAAGTCACTAGATCTTGGGTGTGAATGACTTCCTCTGTGAAATCTGCACCAACTGAAGTGGAAAAGGTCTTCCAAAGGAAATAAAACTGAGGTAGGATGAATCCGCACCCCCTTTCTAAAACGATGCTGAACATTTGCTTTTCCATACTTGTGTAAAAGTCATTCTGGGTGTTAGCATCTTGGCAGAACTACAGGACTTTCAAATGGTGCATTGTCATGGGTTATATTTAGTCAACTGGTAAATATGATTGCCCTTTATTTGCAATTACACTAATTTATCTGAGTGCTGCCTCTGCATTTATTTCATTAATTTTACTATTTTTTTGTGGTTTTCTTTGTATTTTTTCCTCTTGTTTTGCTTCAGCTTCTGAGTTTTGAGCCCCCCAAGTAATGTGGCATTTTGATTCCACTGAAGTCATAAAAACTCTAGTTAGGATTTATTATCGTAACAAGTTTTCAATCTGTTTCCAATTGTCAGAAGTAAAGAAAAATTGTTTCCAGTAAAGCACACCAAGTAATGGGGTGGTTGGCTGGATGGTGGCTGGAGTTGTTCTGTGCTGGATGCAACTGGTTGCTTCATCAGGGTTTATTTCATAATTTTATTGCTGGGTGCTGAGACGCTTTGCAGACAGCAGCTTCCACACGGGTCGAAAAGTAACTGGAAAGATGAGAGGGGCCTGAGAATCCAGCAAATCTGTGCTGAGGGAAGGGGGTGACACTTTCCACCTACAGTAGCTCAGAGGAGGAGGCTCTGCTCACAGTCTCCTGCCGGCTGGAGGATGCCACCGCTGTTCCTGTTTTGCTGACGGTGGCCAGCAGCCATCCTCTGCTCCCCCAGCAGCTCTCGATAACCGTTTTGATGTATTGCTGGATGGACGGGGCTCGCGCTGCCCTGCAGCCCTGCTGATATAAAAATGCCTTTAAGATCCTGCCTTTCCCATCCTAATCTACAAAGGAAACAGGAAAAAGGAACTTAAACTCCCTGTACTCAGACAGCAATGAGACTGTTCCAGCCTGCTCCGCTGCGCCGGTTTCTTGCCCGTGACTTGTAAACACGCTGCGGCGTAGCATGCTGGAGGAGAGTCGCTGGTAAACTCCTGCCCCAGGAAAAGGATACTCCATGAGTGGCTGCAAGAACTGCATGGATATATCCTGGAAAGCATGGACCCTTTAGCACATCTGGTTCTCTATGGATTCAGCCTGATGATTTCAGGTAAGCTTTTGCTTTACTGTCTGTAGTCGACCTGTCATGCTGTTCTTGCTTCCAACACACAGGCAAAACACAAGTCCCTGCTCCTCATTCTAGGAGTTATCTTAATTGATTTAACTACTTGTGTTTGCTTGAGTGGGACCACTTACCCTGGTGAACACAGCAAGTGAGGGGAGGACAGAGTACAAGCTACCAGGGAGCATGCTGCTATGGCCAGAAGCTGCTGCTACTTCTTTCTATGTGCTGAGCATGCACACAGCAACAGGTTTTCTCTGCTGTCTGAAGGTATTAACTTTTTCCTAAAGCTCATTACATTGAAATTATCAGTGCCATTCCCCCAGATTATCTGCTCTAGACACAGACTAAATGTTAACTCCTTCTGTGCCTCACTTTGTGAACTGGAAATGCCACAGGAAGTGTTGACGTTTCCAGGTATTCCCGTACCAGATTTTAGACAAGTATTATTCCAGTACAAGCTTCTAGACTGGATTCTGCAACTGGAATCCGCATGAAAGTCAGTGGACAAAAAGGACGGAAGAATGCACATTGTATAGGGCCAATTAATAACACTTCAAGCACAGCTGAAGAATGGTTCAGTATTATCAGCAAATGAGATTACTTTAGCAAGTCAGCAGTTAGTCATTAGAGACATCTGCAGAAGGGTACACAGCAGAAATATACTAATGCAAATCTGGTTTATAGCATTCAGAACAGGCAAGTGGGAGATCATTGCTGAAGCTATCACAAGCATAGTCCTGAGGAAGATTTGCTCTTTTCCCATGGGACTCTCGGTTGCTCAGCGTTTAAGCATTGCTATCACCTCTCATTTTTTGATTTTCTGGACAGTTTCTTCAGCTTCTTTTCACACACCATGCATAATCTGTTAAACAGAAATACATCTCAGACAGTAACCTCAGACTCACTCCAAAACATGTCACCGAGACACACATAGGTTCTTCCAGTCCATCTCTCAGCAGAAATACAAGGCACTGTAAAACAGCAGATTGTGTTGCAGTGAAAAACAGAAAGAAGCATGAGGAGGCAGAAGTCCTCCTTGCAGGGTAACTCACTTTACAGTTTCTAGACCTTCATGATTAGCAGCGCGTTAATAGCTAAGTGAACTAATGAGCTTGAGATGTTTCTGATTTTTTAATTATTTTGGCACCTAGAAAAAGCAAGAGATTAACAAAGGAAAAAAAAAAAAATGTATTTACAATCTGTTGAATATGTGTTTGTAAGTATTCTTATCTAGCCAGAGCTGTAATAGGCTGTACATTGTTTACCAGTTCCTCTTCTGTGGCTTAAGTTTCATGACTGCTTAGCTGCACGCTATGTGGCCCTCAGCTCACCTCCAGCTCGTCGCTTTAAGGCAATTTCTGGTGCTCTAAGCATTATGGATGGAGAAGGAGAGACAGACCGATTGCCCCAGCTCTTTCTCCTCACCCTTCATGTTGTACACACCACGATGCCATGGAGGGCAGGCAGTGCCCATGAAGTTGCAGGCATGGCAGAAACAAGCAGCCGGCTGTATGGACAAGCGGCGTGGGTGGACAGTGCCGGCAGCGGGGTGCTGATGGGCTGCCCGTCACAACCCTTTCCACAGGAGCTGGCTGGTTAGGTGTGTATCGCAGTCACACCCATCTCAATAGATCTGTCAGCTTTCCCGCTTTTGTTTGGGAATGATATCATGTTTCCTGGGGCGAGCGGTAGAAGACAATGCGAGCCCGCTTTCCTCCAGATACCACAGGCGGAGCTCAGGAAAGCGGCACTGATATTGCCCCACAGCAGGGGCTCTGCTCCCACTACCACTTCACCTCCTTGCTGCCCGTGGGTTGCCGCGGGGCAGGCTCCAAAACCACCCCACCCTCTTCCACCATCAGCATGCCCCCAGCTACAAAGAATGGCCTTTGATTTAACTCCTTTTTTTGATAACAGTACTCCATTCGCAGCCAGAGCTCAAAGTTTGGTGTTCGGTACCCCTATACACCCCCTGTCATGGTGCCCAGAGAGCCACTGATTGCCACGGTCAGCCTCCAGCTAAACTGACAAACTGAATTTAATTCCAGAGGGATTCTTGAAACTAAACTGTGCATCACCACCTGTGTGTCTTTCGGTTGGTTCTGCTCCAGGCAACGCTTTGTAGAATCAAAGCAATCCTGGAGCATGCCCTGCAATGGGGATTTGAGCCCCAGGGCCACACTGCGGTACAGCCCCTGCTGAGCACGGACCAGAAAAGTGCTCCAGAGTCACCTACTCCAAAACAAGTAGCCCAGTGTCACAACTTGCCCCTTGCAAGAGGCAAGCTTCCTCAAATGGTCTGGAATTCTGCTTGCAGCTTCTCACAGGGGGATAATTCTCAGAAATTATGGTGTGTGAGCCTTGTCTAGGCAAATCAGCCACCCTGAGAAAGATTTGTGGAAACTGGTGACAATTAAACCCAGTTTCAAGCACTTTTTGTTGAGTGCTTCTGGCAGGAAACAAACACATTGTCAGACGTCTCCATTCTCAAAGATGGAAATTTTGGTGCTATAGCTCTGCGCTACCAGTAACATCAGATCCAGCGGGTTTCTAAGATCATTAGATTTCTTATTTTGCTGGGTGATTTTGCTTCTGGATCCATATATTGTAAAAGACTCAAAAGGTTACATTAGCCTTTAAAGAAAGGGTAACAGTGGAACTAACAGTGTAGTGCAATTCAGTACTATATCCCATGATGGGATCAGTAGGTGTTATCATAAAAAACATACATATAACTATAAATATTATTATTACATGACTCCTTTACATATTCAGAAAGTGAAGCAGCTTTTAATATACATTAAAAAATGCACACAAGCACAATTATGATGCTGTATGCCCTTCAAAATGACAAAGAAATTGCATTTTCTAGTTACAGACTGGAAAGTTCTAACAATTCTGTCTCAAGATGTGTTTTTTCTTTATGAACCTTAACTTAACGTATAGAAAACCAACACTTTCTCTGGTGCACTTTCTGATACACTTTCTCACATACATGTCCGTGGCAATGTGCATGACTATCATTCTTCCCATAAATAGAGACTAGGACTGCATGAGCATCTTCAGATCGGCTGTCATCTGACTGCAGTGGCACCTGAACTTTGACCACAGTCTCTCTTGTGGCTGAGGTGCTGTTTTTTTGAGCCTCTTGAAAACTCTAGAAGCAGACACAAACCATGCCTGAGGTTTCAATCTCAAGTATTCTGAAACTATTTAGACTGACACAGAACATTTCGAACACCTACAAGTCAGACATCTTCAAGGCCAGGTTGTAGGAGGCTTTGGGCAACCTGGTCTAGTGGGAGGTGTCCCTGCCCATGGCAGGAGGTTGGATGGCCTTTGAGGTCCCTTCCAACCCAAACCATTCTGTGACCCCATGACTCTACAATCAAACAATTACTAATGCAAATTCCAGAAAAAAAAAAAAAATCTAAAAAGGGCTCTTGCTCCTGAAGCATATTTGATTTGTGAGATCCAGCAGTTGCATCTGCTGGCCACATTTATGTAATTGTCCTGTTGTCTTTTTCATGAGCCTCAAATTTAGATAGAATTTAGATTGTTGCTGAGATATAGCGTTCACTGAACCCAGAATTGAAGGCCTGCCACAGGAATCACTGGTTGAACCTTGGTGACCTGCTGACTCCTGGTACCTCCACACAGGTCTGCTAAGACAGTCATGACTACAAATGGATATATCTACATTTTGGGAGAAAGGAGAGCTGTTCTTTCTGAGTTACACTGCTGACTATATGTTTGCAAAGAAAAAGATTCCAGCTGTGACCTAACTCACTGCCCTGACTCTGCAGCTAGGAGCCAAAACCAACAGCTTCAGCCTGTGCAGGCAGCAGCTCTGTGCACCTACCCTACATGGAATTACAAAAGTGGCCCAAATGTCTTCAGTTTTCTTTATAGCTATATAGATTGCTTTTGGTGTGTGCCTAGTTCAGCCCCAGTGAGAGGCAGGGTGGCTCTCAGCAAGCGTCTGTGCCCAAAGGCCATTCCAGCAGCTGGGAACAGTCAGGGGTGTAGAGGCATTGCATCAGACCCAAAGGAATCAAACCTAAAAGGGAGAAATGAAATCATGCTACATTCACAAGTGTTAACATATGCTGTTGGTTTAGATACAGATTATGTACATACATATTTGATTGTCTGGATATTTAGTCATGATTAAGTTGGTTGGATGGATTACTTTTTTGCTGAAATTTCACTTTAGGGGGGAAAAATATGAAGCTGAAACATTTTACAGAGATTGTCTGATCCCCACATATATTTCATCTGGAAGGCTTTAGGTGCAAAAGAGGGAGCATACAAGTCAGAGAGACTGACTGCAGCTGAGCAGCAGGCTTTAGGACAGGGGAGATGTGGAGCTGATCCTTCGTGTGGGAGGATCCACCTGTGTGGGAGATCTACTCTGTATCAGTCAGGTAGACTTCAGCCTGCTTGGCCCAGTCCTGTCACTTAAACAGAGATTTCCACAGCAGTCATTCCGGTGTGGAGAGTGTTGTGTGGGCACAGAACAAATACTTCAAAAATGGATGCTTCTACTAGCTCTCTGGGATGGACATACAGGTCCAGTGTCAGCTCCCACCATGACCAGTTCTGGGTTGTCTATTCCAGGAGACCTGCTTCTGGAAGTCCTTCATGTCGTATTTGTGTAAGATGCACCTGGGACCTGAGGGATGAAAACAAAATGTGATTAAAGATACTGCAGTGGAGGACTGTTCTCTGAAGACATTATCTACCCTAAGCTACTAGGAAGATCATGTAAAGGACGCTGTTCCACTGCAAGTTCAGTGGAGACTCACTGAATGAGCCAATGAACCAAACCGTGTCTGAAGTATAGGCTTTCCTGTGGAGAGTTTAAAATGCTGACTGTTTTTTTAGGGTGCAGATTTGGTAACTCCTGCAGCTCCCTCATGAGGGGAGCGGAGGGGCAGATGCTGAGCTCTGCTCTCTGGGACAGTGACAGGACCGGAGGGAAC